AGCACCCATATCTGACGCACGGCCGGTCAGTTAGAGACGGTCCAGGAGGTGCTGCCACCCCGTGGCCCGATGAAAATGAGGCTTTCGCCTCAACAGAATCTCTTTTTCGTTTTGGCTGGCGAAATGTCAAAATATATTCACTGTTCGATGCGGGATCTGGTTTGGGGAATATTTTTAGGCGATGGATGAGATATGATCAGATTACGGGAGAGTGCGGAGAGAATCAAAAAACACTCGCGTGGCGTTGGTCACAAAAAGTCAACTTTAACTAATAAAAGAGTGACTAAATACACTTGTATTTATCACAAAAAAAGAGCTGAGCAACAACGGTAAATAATTCAAACAATTATTCAAGTATTTCTGAGAAGTACTAATAATGAGCGGGTCAAATAAAGAGAAGAAGACTTTTAAGAAAAGCGCGTCAATACACTCGAACGGTCGAAATGCTAATGAGAGAGATTAACCTGCCATAACGTGGTAGGTGATAGAATTTAGTGCGTTCACGTGACCTTATTGAATTATCTATATATGATAACTCGGAGCTGTCCAGGAAGTGATGCCGCAGGTGTCAAACGTGAGAGGCCACTGGTCATCTGAGGCAAGCGAGTCAATCAGCTGAGTGGGTCATGTGTGTTGGTGAGTGTGAGTGTGCGAAAAGAATTCGGAAGAAAATCGAGCAATTCACACATTCTAAAAATGTTCATTTTTAGAAACCTCACATCACCATTCGATGTAAAAAATTCCCATTTCCCATTATTATACTTTTGGGTGTATCATTGTATCTCTGTTGTGTCATATCACCTTTCCTATGCTTGGAATATTTACTCCATTTCGAAACCACACATCCAAGAGGATGAGTGTTTTGTCTATATGATGCGTACGTGCTCACCGGTTAACACGCGCAGCCCCGTAAGTGGGAATCAGTACGCGTCTCGATCTCAATGAGAGAAAGAGAAGTATCGAGTTTAAAACGATTGCTCAGATTTGATAAAAAATCAAAAAAATGATTCATTTTTCTTATTATTTTCTACTCATAACGATTTTGAAGAAAAAATTTCTAAGTCATGAATTCATTTGTTGTTGTAATTATATTTAGTGAGGTAACATAAAATGTGGATATACAACCCCCCCCCCCCCCCCCTATACGGCCCGAAAATGCGAAACCAAGCATTACCATTTCAGGCTGAGAAAGTAGAACCCGCTATTGTTGACCGAGGCTTAAGAAGAATGCGACATTGCGCTCTCCCTCAGACTCACCCCGCGCTGCACCCTCCCTAGATGTCTATATCCAGAATCGGTATAGCTTATTTACTGTCAGCTCATATTTATTACGAAGGGGGGTCAAACACTGGATGGCTCCCTTAGCAAACCCTCAAGCGAACCCGTTGAGCGTGTACATCGCACCGTTAAGCCAATGATAGCGGCTTTTATAAAGGACGAACAAAACGAATGGAATCAAAACATTTGGCAGCTTTAATTCGCATATAATAGTGTTTCTCACGCCGGAAGTCACGTATGTCCTTTTTATTTGAATAATGGCTGCGAAGCCATCTCGAAAAGATCAGACGTTGAAAATAACCATGAACAACATCCACCACCAAACGATAATACTTGGGCATAAACCAGGGCCCGGCAACCTTCAGGTAGTCGGGAGCCAGCCTATTACTAGGGTCGGGATAATCCTCTTATTTTAATGGGTACCCAATTAGCCAACCAATGTGAGCGAATAAGTCCCAGCAGTGACGATATTGCAGCCAGCCACGTAGAGTGGCGTGCCAGTCGCATAAAAATGGCTGACCCGCCAGAATTGGCGCAAATTTTCAGTTTCACATTTTAAATAGAAAATAGAAAAATTAAAATTTACAATGAAAAACCCTCAAGAATATATTTAGGAATTGGCTTTCGGTAATTATTATTTGCCTACCGAATAGTGCCACTCTCAATGTGAAAAATAAAAATTTGCCACGGTTATTTTTGGAAGATTCTATTATATATTATATTATATTCCTGATGGTTTTTTTCATCCCAATTTGAATCAATCAAATGCTGGCATTTTCCGTCACGTGGTACAAGTAAAACGGTTTTACTTGAGATATTTTTCGAATATTGCCTCGTTTGTTGCTAAGCAATGACAATATCCAATAAACTGGTACGCGTTTCAAACCCCAAAACTGTCATTAGAAAAAATCAAGTTCAAAGACTTTACCTCGACATGAGCAGATTTGGAGGAGAATCCTTGGACATTATTGATCAACAAATTTAAAAAAATTGAAAATTGAGATTTTGTAATAAAACCGTTTCATCGCAAATCTCGCGCATATTTCTCATTTATTATGGGCTATCTCAGTTCTGTGCATTGCCAGTTTCTTCTCAGCATTCTCATTTTTATATCCCTCTATTCTTCTTCATTTCCTCAGCAAGGACTATCACAACTATTGCTCATAATATAATAATTAAATCGTAAAATAATTCGTGGACACATAGTGGTATAAGACTTACACCAATCCCCTCCAACGACTCCTTTGACGTCACAAAGATGTGGAACGCTATATAAACTTCCCTTCTGAGATGTAAAAATGTATGCCGTATGAAGGACGGCGGTGCTCCATATAGGCAAGAAAAATGAATAGAAGAAATGGCTAGGAGCCGGATAGCTCAGTTGGGAGAGCACCCGATGCATAATCGGAAGGTCCCGGGTTCAAGTCCCGGTCTGGACTATCCATTTTTTCAGTCATTTTTCTCGCAAAAATTATATGGAGAATTATCCTGTTCCCCTTCCTACCTCATCCAAATCCTATCCAACGACTCCTATGACGTCACAAATAGAATGTGGACCGCTATATAAACTTCCCTTCTATGATGTAATCATAGAATACATCTTAGAAGGGAAGTATAATAATATAAGTCTATATAGCGAAATATAAGTCTATATAGCGTTCCACATCTTCGTGACGTCAAAGGAGTCGTTGAAGGGGATTTGGATGAGGTAGGAAGGGGAACAGGATAATTCTCCATATAATTTTTGCGAGAAAAATTACTGAAAAAATGGATAGTCCAGACCGGGACTTGAACCCGGGACCTTCCGATTATGCATCGAGTGCTCTCCCAACTGAGCTATCCGGCTCCTAGCCATTTCTTCCATTCACTTTTCTTGCCTATATGGAGCACCGCCGTCCTTCATACGGCATACATTTTTACATCTTAGAAGGGAAGTTTATATATCATTCCACATCTTTGTGACGTCAAAGGAGTCGTTGGGTACAGTTACTGCTCCAGCTCAGGAATGGACAAGTATTTTATTTTATTTGTTTCATTGCTGCAAATATCGTCTGGAGACAAAATAATTGTCAAGGCAGATTCCTCATCATGAAAACATCGAAAAAATAATTTTTCCTCATATTGCTGCCTATTTCGAATTAAAAAAATTATATTTATAATTCAAATTGATGGAAAATCAAAATTTCCGCTCGATCCCACGGTGGACCTCTGCCGGTGGCGAAGAACAAGAGCTCAAGCAGAGAGAGATATCGAATTAGAGCAGGTAGTTTTGTTAAGTGGATGAGGCCCCTCTCCCAGCTCTGACTAACGAAGCTTGGGAGCCGCGTGAGCCTAATGAGCCCAGGTTGCCGGGCCCTGGCATAAACAATGAGTCGGATAGATGAGTTAAGAAATAAAATCGAGATGCTTCAAAAAAATCATTCCGACAACGAGCTTGCTAAATTGAATATAAAGAAGCACACTTAAATCCAGTTGCAAGTACGAACAGAGGTTTATTATCCAAACATAAGATTAAGTAATAAAGCTGAACGATATAGCGCCAAATTAGCCCACTGTTACCTGGGTTCCGGTACAATAGAAAGATTAATCGGTACGATGACCGCAGGGCTTGCCGACTATAAGGGCAAGATAATTGTTGACTATTGTATATGTGATCTCAAAATTCCGCGAAGAAGTATGAAAGTAAAATTAAAAGTTATTTCCCCTCTAGATCTATTTATATCACCAGCATTGTCCAATTCACCCCCATCAAATTCGACTGACATACAGAAGATGGTAGAATTATCAGACAACAGGGAAAATCCATCCCCACAGAGTGGCGAGAATAATAAAACCCAACAAACAGAGATCGAAAAGCTCATCCAGGAGAAGTCGACTATCGAGGCCCAGCTCTACCAGTCATTGGGAAACTTGATAAGCTTAAAGACCTAATACCGTCGACATGGGGCTAGCCACACCACACATCTCATTGGAGGAAGAGCTCGATAAAATCGTCGACATAGAAACCTTCTCACCACCGCAGCTCTAGTTCTCTCCAACAGGGAGCCATCTAAAAAACACCACAAAGAGTGAAGCCGAATAACGAGAAAATCGGTTCAGGAAAATTGTCTCTCCTTGAAAGGCTGCACAGCAGTCCTCTAATAGAAGAAGCTACAAACAAATTGACCAGGGAAGAGATAGCAGATCTCACTGAAGAAATCCGCAACCCTCCAGCCCCGGTTTTCAAAAGGGAGATCGAAGTTGCCACAAAAGACGACATTGACAAAAAGAACCTGAAACGACATCGCTTGAAGAATCGTGACCATCTCAAGGAGAAGTCCTACACGGGCAGAGAAATTAAGTTAACCCTAATGCCCGACTAGTCACGCCGGTGACTAGGTCACCAGCCCCAGTCGGAACTGAGACAGGCCTTTTATTTCGAAAATGAAAATTCAGTTAAATAAATAAATTCGACAGTGAAACTATTGAAATTCGACAAGGAAGTGTAATTACAGAAGGCCTTCACCTGACGCGGCCTGGGTCAAGGGCTGTCAGGGCTCTGGAGGAATCCTTTTGCACATTAATAGTTCATTTCAACAAGAGTAATTAATTAAACCGGGCGCCAGTTAATTTCACGACAATTAACAACGATCAACTTAGCTCAGGATATCTCAGAGGTGGATGTTGGAAGACCCAAGTGAACGATTTAGACAGAGAGAGAAAGGAAAATAAGGCAAGAATAGTAAATAAATAATTACTTACAATAAATGTCGACCAAATCTTTGAATATATTAGTTCCTCGGGAACCGACTCTCTCCACACACAGTACAAAATTAAATATAAGACAATGGTTCAATATTACAGAAAAAACAATCGATATGCATCCACGTGTAGCGTCAAGGCGAGAGTGAGTCCTCGGGCCTTAGGCAGCCTGTTGCATGGCGGTTAATCGATAATTCGGCGCCTGCGCCCTCAATGTCGACTTACTTCTCTAACGCCTAATTCAAATGTGTAATTACAGACGCCGCGTTATTATCTATGGATGGTAGGATTAATTTTTAAATAAATCGGTTCCATAACTATTCGCTAGGATTCCCGAGGACATTTAGGGATGCCATCGACGTGGAGGGGAAATTACGATCCTCCTGTTACAATCTCCCTCATTTGCCCTTCACCTCGGTGGGCAAGTTCCCTGGTGACATTCTTGCCTTAGTTTACCCCCTGTTGATCTTTAGATTACCCTGGAAACTGTAGGGTACAAAACAAGAATTTCAAAATTTTCGTTTCTCTCTCTGTCCGTCGGGATATTGCTGTGTATAAAATCAATATGAATGCACAGTTTACATGGACGTAAGATCGATACATTTTAGAAATAATTGTCTGCTTAACGTAGTATAAGAGTAATTAGGGCATGACAATTAACTTGAACTCAAGAAAACCTAACTTAACGAATATAAAAAAAATGAAAAACGAAAAATAACGTAAATATTAGTCAACGTAGAGAACCATAAAGAAATTCTATGTAAAGAAAATCTCAGGAGAAGTTTCGGCGTTTAGATGGTCGACTTCTTAAACTTGGTGGGGATGAAAACTCTATATTCTTCACCATCCTTCAGTTCTGGGCGTGTCTTCGTGATGTCGTCGAGGTGTTTGAACATGACTGGTGTCAAGAGTGCGTCGACTGCCTGTCGACGTTTGCTTTCGGACATCTGGGATGGCGTTGGAATATTGGGGTTGGCGATCCTGGGAGCTGCTGTCAGGGCATTTTCCCTGATGAGGAATCGTCTTAATTTGTTGGGGGTCTCCTCTGGATCGTCGAACTTAGCTTTTATTTTTTTGGTGAGTGTCGACTCGGATTCCCCAACCATGATTCTGTGGTCGGCTGGAATTAACCATGTTGGCCAGGTCGAATAGTTTAGGCGTTGCCAGTCAACAGCCGATTTCCATCGGATGTTACAATCGGGGCATTCTGGGCAGTAGAGACTGAGGTCTTGTGAACACCCAGAGCAACGGCCTAGGACCCTCTCGTGTTCTACTCCATGGGGGTTGGGGCAGTCGTCAGCGTCAAATCCTGGGGCGCCGCAATGATGGCAAAAACCTGGACCCCAGGGAAGATTACAGTCTTTAAGGCGATGTTCAGCTGATCGACAGTTGACACAGCCGCGCGTGTACTGCTTGCCCACTTGGGTGACGTAAGTTTGAGTACTCTTGGTAGCCTTTTGACTGTCGAGATGGGATACCAAGAACTTCGCACGCTCAGTGACCAGTACTTTCAGCTGCTCCTCAGTAAGTAGGTACAGCGGCTTGCTCTCCGGGTCTAACTTTATAGCTGAGATGTTGTGTTCCTGGAGGTATGTCCTGAAGGAAGGTGTCTTAGGGGGAGCAGCAGGATCAACAGCAACGGAAGGTGCTAGCAATGCGTCAATGTTATCAGTCGATTTGAGTTCTCTTCCATATATTTGGGACTTTGCTTTTGGCACTGTGGTCCCAAGTAGACGTCGACGCCTCGTGTTTTCCTCATCGATATTGACCTGCGTCTGGATAGACCAGGTAGAATCAAATTTTGGAGGTGGCAGGCCTCGAATCTCGCACAGCAATGCCGTGGCCTCGTTCGAGATCTGGGGCTGGGTGTTTGCAAGGAGAGCCCCTTGTTGTATAGGTGTCAATTTTAATTCACTGATGTCTGGCAACTGTGTTTCAGAGTTGGTGGGTTGTTCAGTTGTCGTTTTGGGCAGCTCTGTATCGTTGTCTTGGCCCTTTGGATTTGGATAATCGCGTTCCAATAGCTCTGTGATGTCGTTTTCGCTGTCGCTTTGACCTTCTGTTGACGACTTAGATGTCATCGAGCCATCCTCGCTGTCGCCCATGATGACGTGTTCCTTATGTTGACGGACCCATAGAGACAAGTTATTTTCGTCTGAGACTACGTCGCGGGAATTTTAGATCGGCTATACAATATTTTCCTACTTTTTTGCCATTTTTGTCGACTAACTCCACCGTCATGGGACCCAAGATTTTATGGACTAGTGCGGGGCCCAGATAACGATGTGCCAGCTTAGCATTATAGTTTTCCGCCTTGTTGCTAAGTTTCTTGTTTGGATAGTAAACTTCAGAACCCCTTTTTACTTCTACTTGACTAGTTTTCTTTTTATTCTCTTTGGCTAATCGTTTGTCATTTCGCCTTTTCAGAAACATCTCAATTTTATGTCGAAATTCATCGACTCTCGACATTCTTTCCGCCCACGGATTCTGATCATCGTCCTTGTAATTGATTATCGATGATACGGGTTCCTCGTTTTACCACAGCTTCTCGACCATGATTAAGAAAAAAGGGGGAAACTCGCGTTCCCGTATGTGGTACCGTATTATAGGCTAGCTGGAATTTCGACAAATTAATATCCCATTCATTCTGATGATCTTTAATGAACGCGGCGATCATCGGCTTTATTGTTCGATTTACA